ACAGTCGTGAACTGAGGTGCAGGCGTCGTTCCAGRCACACAATTCTCGAGCCTGTAGTGAACCTGCTACCATACCAAAATAGAGTCGTAAAGTGAGAAAAAAAAAAGCGGTYMAAATCGAGCCGAAGATAAAGTAGCGCACTGCGGTAGTCCCAGACTCAATGTCGTTCCAACAGCCCAAGTATACCAAGTATCTTGACGAGGTCAGCAGTGCCAAGCCGCARTGGTCATATCAAAGCCGAGCCTTGGACCTCTCGAAGTATCAGGGCCAGGCCACAGTGTGCTATACCGTCACCGAACCAACATCCCAGGCCCCGTCAAGTCAAAACATACBAAGGCGAACCCATTCCRRATYCGACACCGCGTCAAAATATCAGCRCCGGACCRGACCAGTGATCGTACCGACGCCAAGAATGCGGGACCCGTAGTCATGCCAGCTTTGTGTCACCATACCTGAGCCGAACCCGACCTCTCTRAATTACAGCAGCCTGTGCCGTCACCAACGCYRAATACCGTACTTGTGCAGCAATGYCGTGATAGTASCGATCCTGAAACACACCGTCATAGTGRCRCCGGGTGTGGAAGTACTCTACGGGAAAGGTCCCGAACCTGGTAATAAATCTCCATCGTGGCCGCCCACTCAGAAATAAGTCACCGTAGCGGCCCCAAGCCTGAAGCAATGTGCCGCCGAGCCCATTCCGAACCAGATTCACACCGAATACCGTAGGACGTAGCCAGTTCGTAACAACCCTCGTATCCGTACCGAACCAAACACCATAGTCGACCCAAGGCAGCACCTGTCCATGCGACCCCCGCTCTCAGAACATCCCAACTGCGATAATGTTAGTAATCAAGCAAACCAGCGAAAACGGCGCAAGGAGCCTCGGCCATCGGCAGTAGTGGAAACTGATAAAATCTGGGGAAAATGCTCAATCCGGGGTCAGGGCTGATGGCAGGTAATCAAGGCGAAATTAGCCCAATCTTCCAATAGTCATGGGTTCCCGTCCCTTTTATCGTTTTTAATCATTCTCCCCTTTCCTTAATTCTGTTGTCGGAAATAGTGAATCAATTGTAAGTTCCATAAAATTCAATCCCGGGGAAGTTTAAATAAATGACCGAATTCCTTGTTTCTCTTTTACGATTTTTAATCTTTTTCTATGTTTTTAATTTAATTGTCGAAAAAATAAAATAACAACGGTATTCCCCCTAGAATTAAATGCTGTAAAAAAATAAAGAAATTAGGGGATATTATATTTTTCCCTTCTCCCCTACTGGTCTTAACCCCTCTTCCCATCTTTAATTACGGTACTAAAATAGACAAAAAATCGAGGCCGCATTTCGCCCCGGTCGTATGCTACAAAACGTGGTGGCGAAGTCAACTCCCTTGATGCCTCTCCGCGGCAGGTCAATCCGGGTCTAACCCTCTGAACGGTCGGAAATGACAGTCCCTAGACATGCCGAGTCCGGTCACCCATCTCGCCATCTCTGAGGGTTACTCATAAAGTTCAGTGCATCCAAAATCAGGGGTGCCCTGGGTTCCCCTAATTTTTGGTTGCCTGGTCATACGAGACTACCATCACAACACAGATCCGTCCCTGAGCCTAAGTCCCAAAAATGCGGTTCTCAGGCGGCGCACTGCTAGTGGCCGCCTGACAGTTAGCCCGGACCACTTCTCGATGCCCCCGTCGAGGCCCTAGCAACTTACGTCAGACAAAGCGGACGATCTTCAGGGTGATAGCCCGTAAAGGACGCTCACATCGGCGTTTAATTGTCTTATGTTTCAGTTTGTTATGAGCCCTGGGGCTAAGAAGATGCTTCTCGACTCTCTCGTTTCTTCTCGTTTTTGGACGCGGCACGATTCTCTTTTTCCTTTGTCCTTGCCCCGAGAAGGGTGTCGACCCGCTAGTACGTCTAACGCGAACTCTCCGTCTAGCTCGCTTGACCACGAATAACCATCTCTTATTTCTTCCTAAAGCGACCCCTTTGACCTTTCTCTTCTCTATTCTTTTCCTTTTCTTGGAACTCTCTCCTGACCCGAATTGCCTCAAGGGCGCTCCATCCTCCATCATGACTTTCCCTTTCCCTTTCGGGCTGGTTAGCGATAAAGCGGACGTGGGCCTGGGCCTAAACAACTTTAACCTAGCCCCCGCCACTGGGTCCTTCCACTTAGATCCGTCTAGTTCTGCTATCATATATGCACCCCAGTCAAGTGCCTCAACCACTCTGTAAGGTCCCATCCATCTATTAGCAAGCTTTCCGGTCCAGGTTCTTTCCAGCGCTGCATCATAGAGAAGGACCATATCTTCTACACTCACCCTCTCCTTCCTGATTCTCACGTTCTTATTCCATCTCTCCTTACCTTTGTCTCTTTCTACTGCCAGACGGTCTGCCGCTGTCATGAGGTCATCTTCCAAACCGTAGGCTATTTGTCTCGTTCGGGCTGCTAAGAGTTCCTCTCTGGACATCTCCTCCGCCCAATCGACGGTTGTGCAGCTGTCGAYGTGAAACTCTATGGGAAGCGGACAATGTCGTCCAAACCACAAGGCGTATGGTGGGTATCCGGTACTAGCCCGGACCGTGACGTTGTCCGCCCATATCGCGTATCGAAAATATCGTGGCCAATCACTGTCCTTA